ATTTACCGTCATTTTGTTGTCTTAAGATTTTGTAGTCGTGTACAGTTAACTACTAAACAACATTTATTTTCTTTCCAATCAATTCACTCAAACATTAAATATTACTATAAAAGATTTTTGAATGTTTTTGTTGAATGCTTCTCACCCGAAATCAAAAGTTTTTAGCTGACAAACAAAAGGAGAAAATTTTTAGGCATAAGTCGGGTACGGGTCGGGTATGGATGGAAAAAGAATTTTCGGATCGAATACGGGTACGAAAACGGTACCCGTGCACATCTGTACCATTTCCCGATTATATATCACTTTGAAATCGAGAAATTTTGTCTATGATTTCTTTTATAATTTAATAAATAAACTACCGGAACATAGACTAGTTTTAAACTGGACCTTTTCAAAAACTTTTGCTGACAAGAAGTTTTGGTCTTGCTTTAATTATCGGATTGTAAGTATGAAGGAAGTCTTTTTATTCAAGTTTCAATGAAAAAGACTCATTCTTTTAAAATTTTGCATCCTCTATCAGTAAAATTAAAATTTTTTCAAGGGCAGAATGGTGGACTTGTAAAAGCCCTTTTCTGCCAAAAAGTAGAGCACAAAATTCTTTATCCAACCATATATCTTTTGTTTTGTTAACAAGACTGTCTAGATAAGAAAATTGAGAAGGAGAAAAAAGGGTTAAACTTTTGTCAGCTAGAGCAAAAATATTTTAATTTGTAAAAATCCCATTTCTCTTTGACAAAGACTCGATTATATGGATTTTAAAGGCCAAGATGTTAGCTATATATACCACACTTCAACCTCCTTTTTAAAAGGCTTTTGTGGATGTCGAAAAGTAGCCAAAAGGGCTAAACGTTTTATCGTCCACTTTACTGAATAGTAATGTTGAGGTTTAACAACTACGTGCGATCGCTAGACTAGATGTCTGCCGATCATGTACTGGAATGTTTCAATAAATCTCTTGAAATTATATTAAATTTACCCTTGATTGAGAAATCTGTAATAGCTATGGCGTTTTACGGTATCGGTAGTGCGTATCAATGTAAAAACGATAACAAGGCTTCTGCTTAAAAAAAAGACGTAATTTTATTGTTGCTCTCTACCTATCTATCATATGTAGGAGAATTATGCAGCCATGACTTTGATGATGTGCACACGATCGTTCTCGAGAATCATGTGTTTTTTGCTATGTACGTACACCCACCTGTAAAGATCGTCAATAGATAGTGGTAGGGGAAGAATGAGTACACTCTTTGTAAAAATATAGTATGCCATTATTAGTAAACGAATAATGAAGAAAAAAAAAGATAAATATCGCTAAGACAGAACAATCTAGGGTTTCTTCACACTAAAAAATTTCGAAGACAACACGTGCAAATGATTTTGGATCTACATCAGCGGAGTCATGGCTGAATAATTCGCTTACATATTATGATCGATAGTTGTGTAACAACAACAAAATTTCGTCCTTATAACTTATAAAATAATCAAAATCTTCTCATTTATTTCATATTATTTTTTGTGTTCACAGCTAAATTCTATTAATAAAACAAACATGTACGGTGGTGGTTATGGTTATCCCAATAATGTTTATAATGCAGCAGTACAGGAAGCTGCAACCGATAATTATATCAATGCAACTGTTCCAGGAGGAGTCAACAGTAAGTTATCTGCTGTCTCAACTAGAAATGTGAGGAACGATGCTTTTTAGTACCGGTACACGTGATCAGAAAGTATTGTCCTCTACAAAAATGTTTGTAGAAAACGCTCTTGACAAACTTCGAACGATTTTTTAAACATTTTTGGATTTTATCAACGTTTGCATGGTACAATATCGAAAGGATGGAACGAATATAGATCAGCACGTGTTTCGAGAGAGAGTGACTACATACGCAGAACAGAGTTCGACCGGTATAAGCTGCATGAACTTTAATTTACCCTGATGAGAAATCTCTAACCTTAAGCGAGGTTTGAATAGTAATCAGCAAGCAAGATTTATGATGCTATTTTCTTTGTCTTTGCCTTCTATAGGTCCAATGGGTCAAATGATGGATCAGATGATGGGTCCTGGTAATCCGAATCCAACTGGTCAACAAATGTTTAATACAGCGACTGGTGGAATGGGCTATAATCCATACAATCCAAATCAAGGATATATGCCATAAATTTGACTGATTGGTTAGCTGGCTATTAGCCGATAAATAACATAAACACTAGCATTTTGTTTTTCTATTGTTCCCACATTATCACAGCAGACACAAGAGGTCTTATTTAAATAAATGTTCCTCATTTCACTAGCATTACTTTTATCGGGGTATAAATGTAAATTTTCTCTTCCTTTCAAAAGATGATTGCACTGTCAAATAAGGATATTGTATGAACAAGGCAGGTTGGATGTCTGAAATTGAAACTATTAATAGATGTCAACTGTGCCTTGCTAAGATTAGTGAATGACTGAGTGAAACTTAAGATATGAAAGTTAAACTGCTTATTTTCTCTACATTTTTGTAGCAAGAGCTAAAGAATAAACTAAAGAGCTAAAGATCTGAGAGTAGAGATGGTTTGAGTATCGCCCATAGGAAGAATCGTTTCTAGAAATGCTCAGAGCGAGTTGAATCATGATGCGGTTTCCGTGAGACATACTTATGTCCTTATTCAGATAATGCACACGTGATTCTCAGGTTACTTCTCAGGAAAACACATTGTTTGAAACAGCCATGCTGATGCTGACTGAGATTAATTATCTCAATGAATGAAAAATGACAAAGTCTTGATTGAATTGTTCATTTTTTGGGACTGATTATGAGATAATGAGTCATATTCATATCGTGTTGAGGGCGCTATATGTTGCCCATCAAACGGCTTGAAAGCTGACTGTAATATAGAAGATATGTATGTATATGGAGCGTATGCATATATTTTTTTTGCTTTCATCTTCGCTCTATCGTAAAAATCGAATTTTCTCTATCGTCATCGACCGAACGCAAGATATGTACGGATACCGAATGCAATACAGATTTTTTGTCGCATTTACTTCACTGCAATGCATGAAAAACCTTTTGTTCAATGAATCGTTTATAGTAAATAAATGTGTTTTACAACCGCTTATTTAAGCTGCGAGCGTAGTCAGAATCAGTTCAAGTTACGCTTTTCTGTAACTAAATAAGCAGTTGTAAAATATATTTGCTCAATATATTTTTTGTAAAGAATGAGATGGTGAATGAACTCGAAGGAGTCTAAAACATAGGAGAAAACTTGAATATACGGAGACCGTCATTTAATCTGGGCCACCCACAATAAATTTTGTCACCGAAGTAAAATGTTTAATATTCAACGTTGTTCTATTGATTTAATAGTCAAAAAAATATATAATTGTATGAGAGAACTAATAATAAACGAAAGTGAATTTCTAATATTATCAAACAGTGACGATTGCCGATTAATTGTGTAACGTTATATATTGCAATATAATTATGTTAATACAAAGTATAAATAATCCACATAATTGCGGTCGTCCACTGTTTTTATTTGTGGTTGGTTGAATCGATATACTATTGGTTGTATCAGTAAACGACGACGACGATGATGGTGTTGTTTCTGTGTAACCTTCAATCGATATACTATTGCTCGTATCAATAGACAACAACCATGATGGTATTGTTTCTGTGGAATCTTCAAGACATGTGACAGCAGCTAGTTTACTACAGGTTGCGTATTGTTCTTGACAATTTGAATTACATTCATCTGTCGACAAACATGAGCTTACGTCCACTGTTCCTTGTAAAGTTGGTTTACACGGAGATGGTACACAACAAAAACAATTACATATTACTGTACAATAAACCGTTTTGACAAAAACGATTAACATACACAGATATATTATTCTTGATATTGAATTCATAGTAATAGAAACAAAGTTAATTTTAACATTACTAAAATTACGAAAAGTATACTACATTACAAACTTAATAGTGTGATTTCATGCCTGATGCCGTGTTCATTCGGGTAAAACATTATCCTTTCATCATTCTGCTTTAATCTAATATTCTCCTTTTAAGTGGAACTCCATTATTTATTTAGTAACGAAAATACATCGATTAATGTATTATTCTGTGTAAAATATTTTTCATCACAATACTAGAAGTGATCTAACATTTTATTTGACGAAGATGATAATATATGAAAAGTGTTCATCTGTGTAGCTGACGTGAATAGAAAGAAAAATATTCGGAAATAACAAAAAGCAAAGAAAAAACAAGGAACAGCAAACACGCGCACTACAATCAAAACAAAAACAAAATTGCTAATACAGGATTTATATGAACCGTTTTATTTTTACGATATACTGTTGAAGAAATTGTAAAAAACAAGACAAAAATACAAAAATCAGGCTCTGTTATGCCGTAGAACTAAGTCGTGGCTACATTTTAAGACCAATTTGAGATTTTTAGCTGTGAAAATGTTGGAGAAATCTTGGAATTGCGAAACATTAGTAAGGCAAACATCTATATTGAGAAAAGAACGCAAAAACAAAAAACGGAGTTTTCCTCAACATTTTCGGATAACAAAATCAGAATATATAGTCCAATATGAGAAGAATTGGACGATTCAAAAACTTAGTCTTTTAGAGTTTTTTAGAGACACACATCCCATAAAGACATACAGATACTGATGTTCTGTTTTTGTTTGTCATGTTTGTTGCATCATTCTTTTGACTTTAGTTTAGAATCTGCAAAGTCCCGAACATCTCTGTGCGACGGCTCCGAAATTTTCTCGAGAGCTTGCTGTCTGTTTGAAACCCGAGGCCTCAAAATCGATAACTGCTCGAGCGCTTAGATTGAGAGACCGCAATCACATTTTTCCAAAGGTAGAGCACTTGACGAACATCTATTTTTGAGTAGTCACCGCATCCCTCGAACGACTTTTCTCGTCGGCCTGGGCTATATTGAAATAGGCTATATCGACAAACGTTTAGCGTTCTTTTGGATTCTTTCTGATATCTACAAAAGCCTTTTGAAAAGGAGATTTGAAGTGTGGTATATATAGCTGATATCTCGACCTTTAAGATCCATACAATAGATCCTTTGGTAAAGGAGAAATGGGAATATTTTGTTAAAAAATCAAAAGATATATGGTTCGATAGAGAATTTTGCGCTCTGCACTTTAGTAGAAAAAAGATTTTTTCTTTGACACCGAAATTTTAATTTTACTGAGGATGAAAGAATCCATCTTTTCCATTGAAGCTTGAATAAAAAGACTTCCTTCATACTTACAATCCGATAATTAAAGCAAGACCAAAACTTCTTGTCAGCAAAAGTTTTTGAAAAGGTTCAGTTCGGAACTAGTCTATGTTCTGTTAGTTTATTTATTAAATGATAAAAGTAATCGTAGACAAAATTTTCCGGTTTCAAAGTGATACATAATCGAGAATGAGTACATGGGAAGACCCTCTGACAAAATGATTTGTCTCACAGAATCTCTCGGATGTTTGTCCCAACTGTTTATTGTAATATGAGTACAATGTAAAATATAAAACATAATCTAATATGATAAAAAAATTTTCGTCATACTCACAATCCGATAATTAAAGTAAAATCAAAACTTCTTGTCAGCAATAGTTTTTGGCTAATCATTTAGTGATGTTCCTATTACCTATTCTGCACAGGTACTTTGCCTAGAAAATTCATAATTTACTTAATCCTCATCAAAAATTAAAATTAAAATTCTATTTATAACATTCATCTCTAATAATATATGATTCCAAAGTGATGGCTCATCTTCATACGTATTTGTTTTCGTCATACCGTACCGTTCAAAATTTTTAATATTTTTGCTATAACGTAATAAAAACAAAAAATATTAGCACCTCGGAAATAGTATCAAATATTTGTGGCACAGCTCCTGTGTAATTACTTTCTGCTTTCTTCAGAGATGCAATTGGTGTCGGTATACCGGTACTGGTAATCGGTCGGCCGATATTGCTGATATTTTGCAGTATGATATGATTTTTTTCAAAAAACATCGTGTAAATTCAGTTCATCTGTGACATATTTCTTCCACTCAAATTTCATTGCAATTACTAAAGCTTTCTTGGCTTATATAAACTTCTTAATTTAAAAGATTGAATTGGATTGCTGTTTTCGTAGAAAAAGCGTGTGAAAAATCAGTTATACATAATCAAAGTGAAAACATTAATCTATCCCTTTGATAACATAACATAAAGTTCACAGTAAAGGAAAACAAGGAAAAAGTATTTTTATTTAGGCAAAATATGATCAAGACAAACTGGTACTGGGACGAAGTTTGTGTACGGGTGATCGGTACCGGTATCGCATTTTTGATACCGGTTCCGCCCTTGGCTTACATTGGCCACCGTACACATACCACCTCCTTACCTTAATCTTTGAGGTTAATATAGTCAAGGAACACTTGGCACCATTATAAGTAGTTCTAAATTTCAATGATGCTCCAATTAGAAATGCTTATTCCAGTTTTTATTGCTAATATACAAAAAATCTGTATACAGGGTGTCACAGGAGTTCTAGAGAAAATGAAAAATAATTTTTGTTATTGCTATAAACCTATATAAATTCCTCATGTTGCACTCTCTCATACTGTATAAAACCCTCCTTGTACTAGGTGTATTGATCTAGGGTAGGTTCAACAAAAGAAAACTAAGCACCACTAAAACAAAACAAACAACACTTATTTCCTATGTACTGTTTTTCAATGTTATGACAGGGTTCTAAATCCCTCCATAGTGTTGAAACAGCCCTAGCATGAGATCAATAAACGTAGTACAAGAAGAGTTTTATACAATATGAGCAAGTACAACAGGAGGAGTTAATATAGCATTACAGCAATAACAAATCTAATTAATCTTTTCATTTTCCTTAAAACTTCTGGGACACTCTATACAGTAATCTTCACTTATTTCTTACACTATCACAAAACAAAGATGAGAGAAAAAACAAAACGAGATCACATCTATTTTGCTATTTGAGAAAAATTGATGTTCACTTGTGTGTAGTTAATTTATCCGGATCAACTAAACAGGAGTGTTACACTCGCAAAACAACGTCTTGAATTTGTTCATCACACTTTTGACGTACTTGGCTCTGGTCCTAAAGTCTTGTCTTTGTGCTTTCTCTCCACAGCTACAATGGTTCCTGTAAGCAATTCTTCACTCAGTGTATCAGGAGTAAATTTATCGGCTTTAATAGTTGCCTCTAAAATGCAACGGGAAACATAGTGGTAATATTTTGACGAAAAAACACTTTAACACTTTTTTACCACTATGACTAGCATTCTTTTCACTCCATTCAGGTGCATGCTCGTGAGTTGATTTTGCTGGATCTTTGTTCTTCGATGAATCTTTCACTGGTGTACCCGAATCATCTCTGCCAGTCGTCATCGGACCCTTTGTAATGGCAAATAATCGAATAGGAATTAAGCGAATTAGTAAATGCTTTGATGATAATTTTGATAACATTTTCGGATATACAAAAAAATCTAAAACAAATATCCAGTTTGAATATTAGTTGCGCTATCGCTACGAACAATCAAACACAAAGTCAATTATTCTGAATATTTTTTGTTTGATAATTGTATAAATAATAATAAGTGTAATCATTTCGGAGATATACCTCCGAAATGCATCTAATATTAATAATTTTTAATTCGGTTTTAAATGCTGAATAAGAAAAAAATAATTTGAATGTTCTGACGAAAAACTCAAATCGAAAAAAGTAACTGTCCTAAACATCATCTGCTTTTTCTAGTTTTAAGGTGGTTCGAGTTTTCGACATGAAAAAATTGAAGACTACATATTCGTGATCAGCTGGAAAAACTCTATTGAATGATGCATCATTAGTCCAGAAAAAAATTTTTACTTCACTATTGCATTAAAGGCACCTTACAGTAGAATTGATACGACCCAGGACGATGATTACGATAGCCGTAAACGGCCGTATACTACAGTTTACGATGATGGATATTGTAGTATACGTCAAAATACGACGCTGTTTACGACCAAATACGATGATGTCTACCGTGGAGAAGGATTACGACGTCGTATTTTGTCTGGAATGGATGCGACCGTTTACGATGGGATACGTCAAAATACGACGTCGTATACGATGTCGTAAAACATCATATACGGTCGTTTTTCATCGTATACCGCTAATTTAAATTGCTAATCCAGTCACTGTTTTGTTATATACGATTGATTCCGGTATGTTTTACTCGGACTTTTCTTCGAGAACATAGTGCAATCAAACTTTAATGCGTTCGTCAAGCAAACAATGCTTTTGTCATGTTATAAGCTCTATCTGAAAAGGAAAAATCAGTATGAATTAGAGAGTCTGGTAGTAAATTCGGAGTATGTACAAAGCAAATTCAGCTCTCTGTTCCCTTATCTAAATAGGTCTCATTTTCGCAAGTCACAGTGTTACACTATCGGATTTTTGGACAAGTTTTCTTTTGAGACGCATCTCTTTCGCAGATTAACTAAATCCGTATATGTGACAAAAAAGAATGAAAAACAACTTTTGACATAAAAGGGTCTCTTAAAAGGAATGTTTCTTAAGATAGCTGAGACGCTGATTTCACCATATTTTACCCGGTTTTCTCTTCGGGAATATAATGCAATTAGGGTCAATCATTCACCTCAGACTCACTTTGAAGTTGAGATCAAAACTTGTACATAATAGTTTTATTAACACGCCCTCTCTTTGTCTAAATCCTTTCTGGTTATCATAAGAACCATATTAATAGTTTTTTCTCATGTATTTCTCAATTATGGTTTGCCATATAACTGGCATTTGATCTCAGAATAAAAGTGCGAGCGGTTATATATTTTATAGTTCGCCTTTGAGTTTTACCGTAAGATAATGTTTGCCATATGTGAGGAAAACATTCACGCTTGGACTTTCAGAGAATGTATATCCGTAGATATTATCGCTAGGATCAGTTCATTATTAGAGCCAATCTATTATTCTGCAATGAGACGGAATGACTGAGCCCCAATCCTCCGTGCGTCAAACAGAACCGAACCGATCGTCGCTACATTCTGAGAGTCACTAACAGCAAAGCGATATTACACCGAGGATACTCACAATTATTATAACATCAACCTTTCATGCATTTCTCACTTCTGTGCAGCTTTATTTTGAGATCTTTACACAGCAAACATTAACTGAATCTATACACTGAGAAAGCCCCTATATTTGCTGCATTTCATGAGAAAGAAGACCCATTTTTGATACCCAAAATGAATGAAGAAAAATTGTACTTACTCTGTAAATTGGTTATTTTACTGATTTAGTTCTACTTTAAAAAGGTTCAAAAAGTAGATATAAACTGCAAAAAGTTCGAGTTTAAAAGTAGTCTACTTTAAGAAATAAAGTGCCTTATATAACAGGCACTGTTTTTTGTCTCGTTTAAAATGAGAAAAAATCGTTCGTATGGTTAATCATACACCGGGCGAGAATATATATATACGTTTACAGGAAGCATGTTTCTTCGTTTGAAGAAAAATGTTACAAAAGGATAGATTGCTCCACGTGCTTATCCACGTGATATAAATGTATATATATATCGCCACGTGTATCATTGACGGTGCCAACGTTTTTTTCTCATTTTCAACGAGACGAAAAACATGTCTGTTATATAAGGCACTTTATTAAACTAGTGAAAATGAGACCTATTTAGATAAGGGAACAGACAACTGAATTTGCTTTGTACACACTCTGAATTTACTATCTGACTCTGTAAGTCATACTGACTTTTCCTTTTCAGATAGAGCTTATACGACTGACGTAACTGCATCGCAATTCATCGTTTACATACCGTCGTATCTGTCAACGTTTACGACTGACGTATTTCGTCGTAATTTGACGTATATTGTAGTATACGGTCGTGAGTCCTCGACTTAGGGAGTGAATAGACCCATTACCATTAAATTTGAGTCAGTTGGTGACTGTAGCTGCCATAACATCATTGTCTCAACAATCATATTAGCTGCAAATAGTTTATTTCTACATATTATTATTTTATTTATTCCAACGTATTTGCAGTTTGAACGTATTAAGAAAATAAACGTGAGTTTACCTCCTTTGCTCTCGTTATTTTGTCTCTTACCGTAAGAGAAATGTAATGTATACTTGTAAACGTGATAGTCTTACGTTTACATGTATATTTTTGTAATGATTGTGACTGTATAAAAAGTTAGAATAAGAAAAACCTTGATGTATTTTTATAATAAAAACGTGATATGCTTTTATGATAAAAACATGCTGTACTTCTTTAAAAATCCGGAGCACAAGTACTATAATCAGCCGCTACTCCTGACTAAATTCATACAGAAGACAAAATATTTCTCAAAGATGGAAAAAGAATTACTTGTAGAAGATACACATATCTGTTTTTATCTTCAAAGGAATGTTAACGATTGCCGATGTTTTTATTCAGCAAGGATAAAGAGTAATAAATAAGTTCAACCATTAGGAAAAGAAGGCTTTGTGAAAAAGTGAAAGTCCAAGCAAGAGTATTACTTAGTCACTTATTTGTGGATTGCCTGCCATAACTGGAGCACTAGCACGTTTTTTTGCAATTACTTTGATTATTTCACCGTATACGAAATAGAATACGTTTCAATCTTATTTTTTCTACAGTTTGTCATGCGTAACCGGGACGCCTTCAGTTTTCATTATTGACAAGTATCAAATCTTCTTCTGTATCAATTTATTTTCGGAATGGCTATTGGCACTCCCAGCAACTGTTTTAGAGTGTCAACTAGGAGCTATTGGTGCTCCGATAAAAAAACTTTGCTGAAGTGTCAACAAGGACGTCATTTGACATATGAGAACACTCGACGTTTGAGCGTTCCTCGAACTATACTTTATGCCAAGATTCTGATTGTATATTCGCATTTCCACGGGCATCCCGCTCATCGGGGAAGGAGCAGGGCAAATCGATAGTGACTAGGCCTGTGACAGTTCATAGTTTCTTGTACTGCAGTTTCTCGATAACGGGAACTGTTTTTCAGTTGCCGTTCAATAAACGGGAACGATTTTTCAGTTTCCGTTCTGAACTAGGAACGGTTCACCAGTTCTGGTTTCGCGAACGGAAACTACAGTTCTTTTTGAACTGGAAACTGCTCAGTGTCCTTTTGTGATTTGTTGATATATTATGTATTTCATTTCGCAAACGTAAGATTTTGAACTGGACTACAGTTCTTTTTGAACTGGAAACCGTATAAAATATTTGAGCTTCTTTTTCTAATCTATTAGCGTTCAATTTCCTTTAGCATGTTAGTGCATTTTACGGTTCAATATGAATACGACGGTTTATTTGATGTCATTACTTTACGTGCTTGTTTCTGAGAAAAATTTCACAGATATACTCGCAATTAAAATAATGAAAACTACCAACATTCATACTTTGTCTTTCAAAAACATAGACAATCTTGTTGTTGCTGAAGTTAGTGATAGTCGATTTTTTCTTGTAAAATTATTAGCTTGCGAAAATGTACTTTCGCTAGCTACACTAGTAGCTGGTATTGCTAGATACTTTTTAACCAAGGTTGATAATAATGGTAGCTCGCGACCATATTCTAACCAAAATAACGATAAATCATAATTCATTTTAGATATTATCGAGTACAGAGAAATTTCTTGTTTAATAGTCGTACTTGTTAAAAGTGAAGGTGGTGTTACTTTTCGTGTTGGTGTTAATAACATGCCACATTTTTTCAAATATGATCCGAATTTGGAAGTGTGACTAATAGGTGCTTTGTGTTCATTAGAGGATGAAGAAGGAGTTGACAATGCCATTGACGTTACTTCATTAATTATCAGTTCTTTGGCTACGGATATTTCGTCTGCTGTCATACCAATATTCGTTTCTGGGTTCATATATGCTGCTATCTACGGTAAAACATATAAATGTAGTGTCATTACGCGATCGCTTATTAACGCGGTTGTTCAAAATTGCGGTTTCGCCTCTTTAGAGAGTGCAGTTTTTTGTGCAAGTTTTGAGCAGACAATAATTTGTTATCTAAGAGAATTTTTTTTTGTAAAGGGTTAGAATTCACTAAACTCATTTGTCTGATATATTTTATCTCAGCATAAGACTGAAAAGGCTAGGTGTGTAGCTCACGGAACTTCACCTTTTTGTCAATCTAATTCAGCATTTTAAGATGGTGTACATTCGAAAGACGTATGGAGACACTTGTGGGTCTCTGACGCTGAAGTCATACTTACTGTCATTGCATTTAGCTCAAGGGGGAAATAGCGGACTCCTGGACTCCTATGGACTCCTAGGACTCCTTTGGACTCCTATGGACTCCTGAAGTCCAGGAGTCCAAGAGCAAAGTGTTCTTTTTTGGGAATCACTTCCCAAAAAAGAACAAAAGTGTTCCTTTTTGCAATGAATTTTTGCGAATTTGTACTTAAAAAAAATTTTAATGAATTCAAAACCGCAAATGCTACAGCCAGCGTAGAGTAATTTCTTCCTGACAATAGCTCTGTGGCATCATTAATTGGATCCAAAGTTTTTGATAATGTATCAAGTACACGCCATTCTTCATCAGATAATTCGAAATTGCCCACAGAAGTAGAACATGATAAGGTATGAAAATTCATTAAGACTCGTTTCAGTAGTAATAACCGTTGAAGCATTTTAAAGGTGGAGTTCCAACGAATTCGCATATCTAGAATCAATTCGACATTCAATTCTTGTTCATTGGCTAGTTTTCTTAGTTCACTTGATAATATGGAAGAGCTGGAGATTTTTTTAATGTATTTTCGACATTTTTTCAATAATAAATGTATTTGTTTGTCGTAATTCTGTATATCTTCCTCAGCGTCATCAGTATCAGGTTCACTATCTTCACACTGGTCTTCATTAGCCTCTTGGACACATTCATCGTCCGTATCATCGTATGATGTGCTTGCATATTCATCTGCTTCTGATGAAGATTCTTCCTCTTCCCAAGGAAAAGATATAAACAAATAACAATAATTTAGATGTAGAAATTTTACCATTAGAAAATTCCATTATTTTAAGTGTGTATTATTCCTCATTTTTCCAGAAGATTGTAAAGAACAATAAGGATTTGAGGTTTCAAGCGCGTTATAATCAAAATAATTCCTCTAATCTTTCAGAGTTAAACCTATCGTTGAATATTCACTGATGTGAGTAGAAAGTTGAACGTTAAGAAACAATAACTCTGTTCATTGAGCTTGCTTACTCTCAGTTCCATGTATTTCTCTGCAGTTGTTAACGGATAACTCGTGAAATCCTTTAGGCAGTCAAGCATAATTGTCCGTGTTGGAGTGTAGATAGTGAATTAAATCCAACCCTCTGGGAAACCAGTAAAAAGTTTCGAAACAGATGCTTACTCTGTCATTTCATCATCTTCGTTTTCACTATTATCGTCTATTTTCTTGGTCCATAAACTAAGTGAATTTTGTACAACTAAATTAAGGGCATGTGCACAACAATACAAACGAATTCCAAAATCGTCCTGGTAAGCGGCTTTGATATCGCTTCCGTTATCGGTTGTAATAGATACCACTTTACTTTTGATATCATATTTTGTCAATACTCTATTGATATGTTGATTCAATCTTTTAGAGTATTTCCTGCCATAAAATTGCCTATAACTTAATACAGTTGATTTCAATTTAAAATCTGGCTTTATGTAATGCGCCGTTATACATAAATAATGACGTCTTTGAGTATTATAGTATAAATCCGCGGTTAATGAGATATACTCAATCATAGCTAATTCTTGTTTTAACTTCAATTTCTCATCACCATACATACTATTCAACGATCTTTTCACTGTTCGAGAGCTTGGACCCGTATAGTTTGGAATGGCTATGTTCAAGAATTGCTGCATACCGTCTTTTTTAAAGTCGTTAAAACTACGAACATCTTTAACGATACACTTAATGGCTGCTATATCCAGCTGTTTTTTATTTGCTAATGAAACACTATTAGTTCTTTTTGATGATGGATACTTTAAAGACGTTTTTCCATGAATATTACCTAAATGTCGTCGTACATTTGCTGTTGACCCGTTTCCTTCTCTAATATGCTAAAACAATAAATTCTTTTCGTTTAGAAGTTTTTTGTAGTGATAAAGAAATTTTCAGCTCTATTATAGTCTAGCCGAGATCTGCACAAATCGAAGAGTGGTGTATGACTTATTGCATGGTCGCACGATTAAGCATCTATCACAAGCACATGATCCTACTATATGTGTAATTATATACGAGACGTGCGTTGCTTACCTTATCACATAATAAACATTTAATTTCATTAGAATTAACTCTTTGAGCGAATTCAAATACGGGAGTTGTTTTTCGTTTTCTTTGTTTCTTCACTAGTAATACATCACTTGTACTACTTACGTCACTGCCATCGTCCATTTTCGACGCTGATTCATCCTGATTACTTAAATCTGTTGCTGCGACAAATGTGTTTGTTTTTGCTATTTGGGACTGCTTGTTTGATAATTGTTTTCTTGATACGGCTTTTTTACTGAATTGATCTGTTGAACTCGAACGTGCTTCTATCCTGGCATTGCTAATCACGCCTTGCCGTTGACTAGATGATCGCGTTATTGGTTTATGAATACCACTTAATAATTTATCGTTTGTAACTGAACGTGAACGTGCATCATCTGTTGTTTTACCCATTATGAGGTATTACTTTTTATGTAAGACTGTAGAAGAATCTTTCACAGTAGGTTTAAGTAACAACTATCAGAAAAAGAAAAACAGATATTCATATAGTGTAGTGAAATTTTCTTTTTGTTCCAGTTTATAAAAAGAAAGATACAGGCGCACATGACTTTTGTACATAACTATAGAACCTGGACATAATGTAGATGGTTTATTGATCTTTCATGCCGATATTCTTTACTCTTTATTTTTTTGTTTTTATTTTCTGGTCTTTGCAACCAATGTTTATGACACATGCGTAAGAAAATGGCGAAACAAAAAATAAGAAAAAGAAAAGTACTGGACGTTCTAAGATTTGAATACTAAGTAAAATAGTTAGAGAGAGAATATGGAAAATGCTACACTGGTAGCAGACAAAAACTATTACATCACATCAGGAGCTGAACTTCTCCAACATGCTTTCTTGAACCTAAGTAGCATATCAAGATCTTAAGAAGTAACGCACTAAATTCAATCAGCAAAGTCTACCACCTAATCTGAGAGTCTCTTTGAGCATATCTCATCCCAGCGCTCACTCTTTCAAAATCTTTTGCTTGCGAAGTGAAATACATAATATATCAACAAATCACAAAAGGACACTGAGCAGTTTCCAGTTCAAAAAGAACTGTAGTTTCCGTTCGCGAAACCAAAACTGGTGAACCGTTCCTAGTTCAGAACGGAAACTGAAAAACCGTTCCCGTTTATTGAACGGCAACTGAAAAACAGTTCCCGTTCAAAGAACGAGAACCGCCTACTGTCACAGACCTAGGCATCTGTCAATTGAAATTCACTGCATTTTTGAACATTACCAAAACTATAAATCACTGTTGCTTTTGGAACTCGTACAGCAGATGTTCTTGATATTGCTTTAAATTTTGTTATATACTATCGAGCTTCGAGTTCATCGTCGTTATCCGATGAATCTTTCATCACTTTTCCAAGCCAATAACCAACTAAAGAATCAAACTATAAATATGTGGCTGCCATTAAGTACACTTGATGATAACATATGAAAAGATATGTCCGTGTAAACACTAGAGTTTTATAATCAAATCTGCACAAGAGCTTATCATCGATAGACGCTCGAAACATAGAGCACAAAGCGCGAAAGTCGATACATCAGGACAGACTAATGAATCAGTGCGCGACAAAAGTTTCACCCCTATTGAGACAAATGTTTTTCTTTATTTCAACACATGAAAATAGAGTTCAATATATAGAAAATCAATCAAAATTTACTATAATTAAAGATATATCAAATATTTTAGATAAGACAACTATCAACAATCTTCCATCCCAAGCTACTGCAAAAAATTCTAAATGAAATGAAAACCTTAGATTGAACAGTAACGATTGATTCGAATAACTCCAAAATGATAAAAGATCGACATTTGTCATTTTCAACACGAATTTTTGCAATTTTTGTATTGAATGTCTCTCGAAACTTTGACATGAGCAGAAATCGCAAGTTTTGAGTTTACGGAAGCTCTCTCTCGGAGGAAAAGTAATCAGTTTTAAGGATAAGTTATACGGAAGCTATAGTCTATATGTAACTTCTCAGAACCGAACACTTTTAGGCAAGATGCATAAGTTAAATAACTTGCAAATTTTCTCTCTGCACAGTATTTAAAGGCATTAGCAAGTTCATGCATTAGAATGTCTTAAAAGATAATTTTGTCCCTTCAACTCGTTCACACGGACTCGAATTCGTTTAACGCGTTCACATGCATTAGAAATTAATGCGTGTGAATACATTAACACTTTTCAACAGGACATCCACTTCATTTGTTGATCGAAGTAATGGAGCAAATTTAGTACTAGCTAAAACTTGAATGCAAGCATTCACATAACACGTGCCTCCCATGTTGGATAAACCTCGATGATACTCTCGATTTTCAATGAATGTTAGAGAGAAACGTTTTTTATTCGGTAATAACTATATTTATATAACTTACGTGGTGTTGAACTTCTCACGATTTCAATTGTACTTTTGCTTTGGTTTTTTACGGTATAATCTTCTAAACATCATGGAAAGTGTATTCCCATTTTTAGACTATACTAGATCTGTTTACCTTTCTTTTCCATTAGTTTTGGCTTTTTTTTGAAAAAATTCTTATCGGGCGATGAATTATAGTCTAAAGATACGTAAAGTAGTTTTTATTAAATTAATTTATTCTAGAGTATGTTACAGCTATATATAGTTATATGTTCTACTAACTTAGCAAACGGACTAACTACTTCTTTTTACTGTGATTTACTCAAATGTAAGGAAATTATTAAAAAATAAGGAGAAACCATAAACGGTTGACCATAAATCACAAGAGGCTCGTGATAGACTTGTTTTTTACCCTACTTTTACAACTTCAATGACAAATGTTAACAAGTTATTTAGTAGCGGAGATGCTCTGGAAGAAGCGTATCTTTTTAAAACCAAAAGATAACTTCTTGTTCTTATGATAATCAATACGTGTCCTCATTTTCGACTCTCTTCTGTAGCTCTTTTCCCTTTCAATTACTTGACCAGTTGAATAATATTTATCTTATAATTTGAAATGAGTATTACTAGCGAACTAGAACAGATGGACATAACAGTGACAGATCAAGAGAATAGACGACATCAACAGCAATCAATCTGTTAGTAAACTGAAAACGAACAAGACAAAAGATTCAGAGAAAAAGGTAATCTGTGACTGTTATTCCCAGTTTATGTTATATTTTGTGCTATATTTTAGGCGTATTGAATATTCGGCCCAAATTCCCACTTTTCTCCAGCCGTCGTGGAAAATTTAAAAAATCCTCGTATGTACCTTCTCTGGAAAATCCTATATGTCCCATATTTTATATTCTTAGGTGGTTTTAACGCAACAAAAAGTGAATTATTGAATCAAATTGCCCGTCATTACATTGCAGCTCACCTCAATTGGAAAATCAAAATTTGACTGTAAGACCTATTCTAGTTCGTTAATAAAAAATTAAGATATTTCATTCAAAAGATCAAGAAAAACCGCAAAAATTATGGGTAATAATCCTTTGTCTTACTGATAAGTATATAACTTCTGTCTTCTATGCGGCTCTATCAGCAGTGATATCAACTAAAGTTACGTTGTGATACCTGCTACTTTTATATGTTTTTCGCCACATGTTTTAGCCATATCGAAGATTAAAGATGTTGTGATCACTTGAGGACTCGACTGATGCTCATCAAAGAAAAAATTATCTGTTGCTGAAAGAGAAGAAAAAGTTAAGAATGTCGCATTAATTCTCGTAACTTTGATATATACTCTGAATAGTGATATCTGCCAGCATATTTTCTTGTCCTTTTAAGTATCTTTTTCATAGAAACTGATTTATTTCATTTTCGATGTCTGAATTTAGATTTTCATCTAAATAAGAGAAAAGTGTCATAGGCCAGTTCTGTCACATCTAAAAATGTAACCTCACCTTCACCGGATGCTTCATCATACTCATAATTTTGAGCCCAAGTTTTGGTAAATTGCGATTTGGTGGTAGAGGTAATTATTCATTTTTCCGGTGGTTCTTCGTTGTTTTTCTCTCTCAAAATTGTTATTGACGACTTTGTCTTGTTCTACACAATGAAAATAGTATATTTCTCATAAAAACAATTGAAAGTACATACTTTACTACGGCTCGGCTGTTGAAGTTCCTCAATAGGCTCAGTGGATTCAATATTTTTATCCGAGGTCAAGTCATTCGGATCTTCATCGAGATTTGTATATTTTTGAAGACGTAATATTTGTAAATGGTTCAATCTACCGTGATCTTTCATACAGCTTGTATAAACGCGCATATAACATTGATCTTTTTTACAAATATAGAACTCAGATGTGTCAGTAATAATAGGCGAACGTCAAACACATCTCAGCTGGATTAGATGTAGCAATGAGGGGCATCGATCTTTTTCTGATGTGGTTGTTGGTCGGACTGGAAATTTTTCTATACTTGGATGTTCGTCAAGATTTTTGATAAATTTTATTATGTCAGCTAAATCAAATTCCGAAGATGAAATCTCTGTTTCATGAGCATTAAATTTCAAATATGATAAAATGGCATAACCCAACGACCAATACATGTCAGAATCGTTTTTTATCTCATGTTGAGGTACAGATTCTATTTCAATTTCATAATGTGTGTGTTGATATGCTTTACAGTGTACGTAATGGTTGAGTAATTGAAATAGGACCGTAGAGACTCCTCGATAATTTGTATCCATAATCGAAAATCTCCGAAATTGTTTAATATTTGCCACTCATCCAATGACAACCATCATGCATGATTAGAATTGTTCGAGCCTTTCTTTGAAAAATCATACGTATGTTTCGATCAGCACAAGTGTCATATAGGCAATGAACCTTGATATAAGCAGACTTTAGTCGACCAAGAACTCCTTTGATCAAAGTAATAGCCCCAATTGTTGACTTTTGAACTAGATGATTTTCAGGGAGTACCATTGTATCATAAAGTTTTCTTTCTGTTCCAGGCAAACTCATCTCGTCTAAATAAAGAAAAGACCTAATATCTACTACGATCTCAACTCTTTTAATATACGAAAACCATCCTTTTCTCGCATTACCCACAACTTGTCCAATTTTTCCTTTTTATCCTTCTCTTGCGTTTCTTCCTCTGAAAATGATTTGATAATGGAATGAGTTTCACTGCTAAATTTTTTTTGTTGATTCGAAGTTTCTGCAGGTTGCACACTTGTCTGGCTGCACACCGTCTCATTTATCTTATTCGAAATTATCTATTTTATCGTACACAACAAAAAGATGACGTTTAAACAGACATGGTGCTGAGCTCGTATTGCTTCTCTTCCTCTTCAACTATTTATGAGTCTATTTCCGTTATATGTACGAAAATTTATGACAAATTATGTATGTCAAATTGGTTTTGCTATTATTCTCATTTTGGGTCCACAAATGAATGCATTTTTGTTTGAGAAAATTCAACCATTGCCTTTTGCACTTGGTACATTCGTAAACTGAGTAAACTGTTTGAAGAATACGCAAATTTAGAATCAAAACAGCCGTTAAATCGACCGACACACAACGAAACACAGTACGTTTAGAGAGAAAAAAAGTTGATATGCGATTCTTTTTACTTCGATTATTCAATACCACTACTCTTTTATATATATATATATATATATGAAGATCATTTCACATTGTACGTATGTTTTTCTTTTCACTTTAAACTGTATTTGACAATAAATTTGAGGGATGTCATAATTCCCATACCCTGAGGTATTCACACTTCGAACACAGAAATATGAGATATTCTCCGTTGGATGTATTGTCCCTTTTGTCCCTTATGAGGCATTTTGCTGTTGAGACATTGCCCCTTTTGTCCCGTAAGATGATTTATGATATTTTTCTTATGATGCAGTGGTGATTAAAAGAAGTTAGATGAGTGAAAAAGGATTGAGGCGCAGGTTTTTTTCTATATAGAAGAACAGAAATGTGTATATTTTCAGAAAAGTCATTTCAGATCGCTGTTCAGGACAAATCAGAAACAAAGACAATTTCAGCTTCGGAAGAAGTCTGTTAGCATTTGTGGTCGTGAAGAGCGACAACACTATATGTTCGATATGTGCGTGTTTTCTTCCCTCTATTTATTTTGTAAAAGATAAGTGTATATATATGAACATGGAAACAATGACAGAGACAAAAAGGAATACGGCGTTAAAAGGGGTAAAATAAAAGAAGTAATCGAAGTGAAGTCATAAGATTAAAGATATACGAAGAACAAAGGAAAGAAGAGAGGATCGAGATGCATGTTATAGTAATGAACTATAATAAAGTTTGTTTTTTGTAGAGTGTAACTGATTGGTCATTCATCTTGTCTGATCATATCTGCACATTTTTCTCCAATCATCATGCATGTAATACATGGATTAACAGATATCATTGTGGGGAAAACTGATGTATCAGCAATTCTTAAGTTTTGAATTCCTTTAACTTTTAATTGAGAATCAACAACTGCCATATTGTCATTATCCACATTACCCATTTTGCAAGTTCCAGCGACATGGAAGAGTGTTGTACTCGCTTTCCTACAATAATTCCATATTTCTTCATCACTTTGAATTTGTACTCCTGGAGATAATTCACACTTTACCCACTTTTGAAGAGGGGACTGTTCAACGATTTTCCTTGCTAATTTTAATCCGGCTATCATAACGGTTTTATCATGTTTTTGTTCATCAGCAAAGTATTGACAATCGATCTGAGGTGGATCCAGATAATTGTTTGATCGTAGTTGAACGTGTCCTCTACTTTTAGCTTGATTCACATTAAATGTGATCGAAAAGGCTTGTTTTTCTGACGGATAACCAAATAAATTATTTTGTATATCGTATGCTTCCGTACCGAAATGAAACATTACATCAGGTTTAATCGAATATGTTTGAGTTTTAAAAAATAAAGCAGCCTCCCATCGTTGAATCACCTGGTCGGGTAAAGGATAATTCGATTCCCATATGATGACACATTCTGGATGGTCCATCAAGTTTGAGCCAACTCCTTCAAGATTAAGAATACAGCGGATGTTCATTTTCTGAAGATGTTGTGCTGGCCCAATACCCGATAATAAAAGCAATTTTGGCGTGTCAAATGCTCCACTGGATACTATACATTCTTTCTTCACTTTAATATTCTCATTGGTATTGGTGAGAACTCCGGTAACAATCATAGTTTGTTGATCAATGATGAGTTTAGTAACAGTTGTATTGGTTAAAACCGTTAAATTCGACGGTAATGATGAGATCGGATGTAAATAGGAACGAGAACTTGAACAACGATCTAATCCAGTAACATTCAGCTGAAGATATCCACAACAATTGGAAAATTCATTAATAAACGCGTCCGAATTCATTTCTATTTGTGGTATGTTCACAGCCGTACAACTATCGATAAACGCTTGATTTAATGGATTTAACGGTGGAACTGTGTGCAAATTAACTTTCTCAAATACTTTATTATAATATTTTCGCGTAGCTTTAGAATTCCAACCATGTGCTCCTAACTGTTCCCATTGATCCAAATTCTCAGCCGGAGCTATAAACGCTATAACTGTATTATGAGAACTGCAACCACCTAATATTTTGGCTCTACTATGAATAATTTCACTATTACCATATTCGTGAATTCACTTTCGATTTACCTTCATCAGATGGTCCGGCTTCAATAAGACAAACTGTCACGTTTGGATTTTCAGCTAATCTTCGAGCTACGATACAACCAGCTGTTCCACCCCCACATATTACGTAATCGTATGACATCGACTAGAACATATGATATTATAAAAATATTATTGATGAGCGTTGTTGAGGATGAGGATGAGTAAAGAATTTATTAACACGTGACTCGTAAAATGCACTTTTTAATAAGAGTAAGTGAACATACAGTTGTTTAGACTCCGTAATCTGTTATGCATAAAATCTTCCATAAAAAACAAGAAAAATAAGTAACTATGCGAAAAGATTTTCTTCTATTTAAATTAACTAACAATAGAGGGTTGCCAACAGTTCGATGCCACACGAGCTTATAGCTTGTCCATAATTAGAACTCGGTAAGAGTAATAAAAGCTAAAAGACATTCGTGTTCATGACTTGTCCTTTTGGAGTTATGGCTATTTTACTAAACTTTCGACCTCAGATATGCTACCTGGTAAAAATATCGTATGACGCAATTTGGAATTGAAGTGTTGCTTATGAGTAGGCCTCGCCATTATTAGATTGCTCCAAAAGTTTTCTTTGAAACACACGATTTGTTCCCGAGATATTGAATGATCGAAAAAGTTGATGTTCGAATTCCTATCTGTGAGATATGACAATTTTTCGATCATTCAATATCTCGTGAGCAAACCAAGTGTTTCAAGTGAAACTTTTAGAACGACCTAATAATGGTGAGGCTCATTCATGAGCAAGATTTCACCTTCAAACTGCCTCATGGGATAGCTTTCCCTCACTTCCGAAAATTGGTAAATACCCATAGCGCCATGAGGGATCCCCAGAATGAATCACAAAAACATAAGACAGATAACGTAAGAGAAATAAGCAAAGAGTGTCGATAACAAGTAATGTGTGAAGACATAGGAGGAGTAGGCCTATAACACATGTGAACTAATATACAAGCGTGAATAATTAGTCTGATCCGCTAAGTCTTAATTTTTTATATAGCTTCCGCCACATTTTAGAAAAATGTGAGTTTTTTACCAGTTATAGAACTCAAACAATCACAAATCATTAGTATTATATGTGTACAATAACGGATGAAAAATCGCATTTTTCTGACGTGTGGCTGTAGTTAAACAAAATGTTTATCAGCGCAGCTCTTGAGAAATTAAAATGTGAAACTCACAAATTTCTTACGACTTTGTAAAAAAATGCGGTAGAAGATTGCACAGTAAGGGCTTTAGAGCTTAGAGAAATGCGAAAGTAAGAGAACATAACGGGTGCGAAGTAATAAACAGAATGAAAAAAATGGCAAGCGAAAGGAATGAGGTTAAGAAAATGGCCCATACGCTTAATCGCACAATATAACTAGGTTGATGGAGCATAATTCAACAAACTCTAATACACTACTTTGATCAAATCAACGGGATCAGAAATAATAGAATATCTCTGTAACAAACACGTATCTGTAGGAGAGTAGAGAGAAAATCGCTTGTTATAAAGCTTAACAAAAATGTTTCATATGTGAGTTTCACAAAAACTATACTTGCAGATGTAAAAAATCCAGTGATATTGATTTTGATGACTCATTATTTGATTTTTATGTGTGCACACGTGCTGGTTTCTTATGCCTCTGTTCTACGGTAAAACTACCGTCGCCGATCAAAACGAAAAGTAACCATGAGTAGTACTATAAATTGACCGAAGTCACGCACGAACTAATGAAAATTCAAAAGCATGATTATTTATCCGAAACGAAGAACATCAGCAAGTGATCGATTCTGAAATAATATATCTATTTCATTGTTTACACATAGGCAGTGCTCTTATTTTTCCCCTGCTGCTGTCCTATGGATTTTCTTAGGAGTTTCAAAAAAATAAAAGTAAACTCTACACACGTACAATTTACATTCTTATCCGTTAAACGCGTATGAGGCTTAAAGTAATAATGTGCTCATTTCAAGTAAGGAAGCACATCTCTCCATGCTTTTTTCTCTTTTCTACAGACGAACGTTTTTTTCACAAAACAGCAATAACATAAGTATTAGGCCTTTCAATCCTGTAGATATGTCATCTCGTTGATGACATATAGAACGCAAACGGAACATTTTGCGTTCTGTCGTCTTCGTAAACGGTGTATATCACACGACTGTTTCGAACTCAATCTACTCACCACATGTGGCTCATTTTGAAACAGCAAGTTTTTGTCGTTTCTTACCCCTAGCAATAATGACGATAGATTTGAAATGTCGCTGATTATGCCGACAGAACACAAGAGAGAGATGTATCTATTTTTCTCATGTTTACGCAGAATGCAAGAAAATGTTTGGATTGAAAGGGTTAATACACTGTTAGTGCCGACATGTAGATTAAAAAGCATACAAAAATGACTTGATTACTAAATGTTTTCTTGTTATAGCAAAAAAGAAGCACCTCAGCGGTGTTATATTAAAACAAATGCACATCCTAAAAATAGAGTTGTACTCGATCATGCGAAATAACGAGTGGTAAGAATAGTCCTATCGGACGGCGAAACGCCAAACTGACTTTATTTTTTCTGTTCTTTTTCACGCCCATATTCAGCGTTGCCTTCGGTGATCTTCTTGCTATCCAGATTTCTAAGCTTTCCTAATTTCTAAGTTTTCTGATAGCACTCTTACCGAGATATACAAAGACATTTTACTTTCTTATTTTTCAACAAAACTAAACGTCGCACATTATGGGTTCACCTGTAATATGCAGCTCCCCATTTTCCTTACATGCTTACTATTGGAATTTTCACTTTCCGGCAAAAGGAAACCGGACATGAGGTCGAAAACTCAACACAGAAAGAAGACGTAACCTATACACACCAGCAAATTCCTACCTCTAGTCGAACACGACTTTTACTGAGCATCAATCTCAAACATAGAAGTTTACTGCTCAGCAAGTGGCGACTGCAGAGCTCGGTATCCAGATTGCGTTGCTTAGTTATTCCCGCTATGCCGCAGTAAAAATACTTCCAGGGGCAACATGCATCATACGGGACAAAAGGGGCAATGTCTCAACAGCAAAATACCTCATAAGGGACAAAAGGGACAATACATCCAACGGAGAATATCTCATATTTCTGTGTTCGAAGTGTGAATACCTCAGGGTATGGGAATTATGACATCCCTCAAATTTATTGTCAAATACAGTTTAAAGTGAAAAGAAAAACATACGTACAATGTGAAATGATCTTCATATATATATATATATATATAAAAGAGTAGTGGTATTGAATAATCGAAGTAAAAAGAATCGCATATCAACTTTTTTTCTCTCTAAACGTACTGTGTTTCGTTGTGTGTCGGTCGATTTAACGGCTGTTTTGATTCTAAATTTGCGTATTCTTCGAACAGTTTATTTACCAATTCAGAGAGAATAATATTATTATTCTCTCTGAAGAAAGAGCACATTAAATGTGATCTTTCTTCCAACCGAAAGTCAAGTAGTCCAACTGAAAGCCCTCCCTATGAAAAACAGAGACTCAAGAGCTAAGTCAAAAAACACCTAATGCGTATTTCGAAATTTTTAGTTAAACTTACTCAAGATCCTATAGAAAATCGTAATAAATAATAATAAAATCGTTTATTCGTCCTTATAGAAAATCTTCAGTTATTGAGATATAACTTTGCAATCTCATACATTTGAAGTACACAGTTTAGCAAGTTCAAAACAAAATATTTCAAAAAAAGATTCATTTATTCTAAGTCAGAGGCGAAAAAGTTAGAATTCTGCCCGTAATTCTCAATCTTCGTCATCAGAACTCAACCTTTATGCAATAAAAATATCATATTCGGAATCAGGATCAAAAGCTGAGTCGGCTAATGTGTATTTCGAAATTTTTATTTGATTTTCATTTTTTGGTGAGAATCTCGATGGTTTTTTAACGTGACAATTCGACAAAAACTAATACAGGGTAGAAATACACACAAGTTATTCAGATATAGCTTTGGCAACCTCATATATAATAGGTTCTAACCATATATTAAGCCTTTTCGCTGGTTTTTAAAACTTTCTTCAAAGCACTATAGTAGAAAAACAAAATATTTTTTCTGCTTTCAGTATTTTTGGTTCAGTATTATTTATTACGATTTTCTATAGGATCTTGAGTAAGTTTAACTAAAAATTTCGAAATATGCATTAGGTGTTTTTTGACTTAGGTCTTGAGTCTCTGTTCTTCATAGGGAGGACGGCTGATTTTTGGGAGCCTCAGAATCGAATTCTAGTACACTACGAAATTTTCTTATAAATTCTCAACGCTATAGCATGGAGCGCTAAATCGAGAAACACCTGGCTTATTGGAGCTTAGTAGGTGTAGTAAAATTTGGAGCTCGAACAGACATAGTTTCGATGGGGCCTGTATGGTATACAATGAAAACCCTGGTTTTGCAGGAACAGATCCAAAAGTGAGTTCTAAGGTCTGAGCAAAAAATATGCCTTTCGTATTTTTCGACAAGATACACTGGTAAAAATTTTAACTCTTCCCGATGAGTTTCAATTCTATAACAAGACAAAAATTTACGGGGATACTCTTAAGTATTATATTCGTTTAGGCGTTGTTGCTTTTATCAATTAGCCAATAAAGGATGAAGTGGGTATAGAAAGCTACAGGATATCAAGTCTAATTTGGCTTCTCAGTGCTGTGTTTCTCAACATTTTGCATATGTAAAGAACTCACGCGTTTATTTCGGGACGATTCCTTACGCAACCTCTTCGATCAACTTGAGGTTTGAAAGGTTTTTATTGTCGGCGAATAGTGAATACTGCCACATTCTCGAGTTTTATTGACAAATACAATGCATCAAATGGGTCCCACTAATGTTTTTTAATGTTTTTCTAGAGCTTGAAATAAAAGGAACATCATGAACAGTATTAGCGACTGCCGATGCTATTATCAGAGAAAAAAGGTTAATGTGAGTTAGGCGATCATATCCAAGGTCTTAGTACGCGTGGAAGACATTTTTTTCCTTAATCATCTATCAATGCGTCTGTCAAACGTTAAAAAATAATTAGCTGTATCAACACGTTCCGTTGAACTTGATTGATGAAAAAAATCTTTTGTATACTTGAGTTTTGGTGGAAGAAAGAGTACACTATTATTCTCTCTGAATTGGTAAATATACTGGTTATCGCCCGAACCGCCTAAGCAAATAAAAAATATCGAGTATCGGGCAATACTACCTAGTTAACTCAGTAAAGTAGTCGATATATCTAAATAATCCAATATCATACGCGATTCCGGATATTAGATTTACCACATGTCCAAGTAAGAAATCTTGTGAAATATCTAGATATTTTTTTGTAGTATTGGGCAATCCTACTATGAAATATCTAGGTACAGCTGTCACTTATTGTGTTATCTAGATATATTGGGCATGGTATTGCTCAATATCACAATAAAAATATCTAGATATTTCATATACGATTTTTTGATTAGGCGTAGCTCTTACAAAGTTTTGTCCGCAGAAAGGGCACATCCACATAATATAACAAATATAAAGTCCGAGGAAACCATATTGGTCAGATGAAGCGCTGATAGAGAAGTGTCCACCACCAAATTTGAATCTGATGCGTTTTTAAATTGCCGGTTCTACCAAAAGTTTGACCTTGGCTGGATCTGTTCTGTTCTATGTGCTACTTTCTTTTATGGTTTCTCGTGGGTTTTCTTTTGTCTTCTATTAAAATTCAAAATAATCAAGGAATTTGTAACCATGATAACATAAAATCAAAGAAAGCCTATAAACACAGAACTCTACGTTGTGACAACTCATTAGAAACGACAGAAAACGATAAAAAAACGTCACTGTACGAATAATTACAGTAGTCATAATATCATTACCAGATGAAATATAAACCCGTAAATCTATCATCCGATCCTCTTCGTCGTCTCAGTATATGTATTTTCGAGACAAAAAAGTTTTTCGCATAATTATCGCAAAAGCTTACCAAGTTAGCGATAATTCGTATGCCATAAGAAAAATTGAAGAAATGTCCACATCCGTTTAAGCTCCATGTGGTTCACCATTACCACCAAGAATGGACGATCAAAAGCATACATTGACAATACAAACAAAATTTAACATTTTTATGAATGAACGTTGGACTCCTGCAGCAGCAAATGAGGATATTGAAGCATTGTTGAAAAAATTCGATGAAACTTATTTTGTCAATATGATATTTGATGGTTATACGTTTGATCCGAGGAATTATGATGAGAATGTTCAATACATTGCCAATCTACCCACCTTGGAAAAACGTGAAGTTGATAAGTGGATAGAGAAAATCAACCATGCAGGAGGAATCAGTAGATCTACCCATATATGAATTTTTGAAAGCGAAATCTAGTGAATTTTGGAAATTCACTCAAATTCGAGCCAATTCTTAAAAGTCAAAGAAACTTTCCTTAAATTGAACGAGAGTCAGATGCGAATCAACCCCCGAAAACTACCATGATAACGATGTGGGTATTAAACAGCCAATACTGGGAAGAACATTCGTCTAGCAGCGTTTAGATTTCTCTTTCGTTTCCAGTATTTCCACTATCGCCAAAACTCAAGGCAACTGGTTGTTTTCGGAATAACTTCAAAACGATAAAAGACAGAGACTTGCGATTTTCCACAATCGAGTGAACGTTTTCGGAGATCTGACGTGGTTTTTCAAAGGTATCCTAGGAAACCGGTCTTCCGAAAGGTTTTGCAAGAGGATTTTCCTTATGAAAACATAGGCCAAACTGTCTTCTTTCGATTGTTGAAAATGACAAATGTCGATCTTTTATCATTTTGGAGTTATTCGTAAAAGAACCGAGTGCGTTGAATTTTTGCGCTGATTAGATAGTAGTTTATCACGATTATGAAAAGACTAAAATCTTGCTGAAAAACTGCTACAGTGGGTATGCGCGTTAGACACTAGAATAATCAAATCCACGTATAAAGAAAATTCACTTAACAAATACCAGGTAGAAGGCTATAAACTGTCATTTTTTAGTTCTTTTCGCCTGAGCATTGTTTTGTGAATTATTCGAACGTTTCGCTCTTGTCGTTACTGAGGACGCGGAAGTAGTAGAAACAGAAAAAGGCGATTGAACGGCAACTGGTGTTGTCGTTATAATTTGAATGGCTGGCATGCCTGCTGCACCTAAAAAATAGAGAAACGTTCTTTTCCATCACCTTGTGTCTTCGCTTGTATTAATCACTGAAGTCATCGACTTTCTGCTCTTTCGTAGTTCTGCAGATATGAGAGTTACTGTAAGTGAATGTAATCGATTTAAAGTCAGTCGAAGTCAACTAAAATTCAGCTAAATTGAAGAACGTATCAAATTCAGCTGTTTTTCCCTTGGTTGGTTCACTCGATGTTATGGTTGCATTGAAATAGAATTATAATGAAATAAAGTGAGGTTCTCATCTAGATAATTCAGTTTGTGACCACATCGATGATTCTTTATGTCTTTCTCAGATGGCAAGTTTGCACAACAATGGCCCCAGCAATCGGCCATAATCGTGACATTTGACTTGTAATGTTGTCTGAGCATTTCGAAGATCGTATGAACAGCCATCTGTTGGTGAAAATAGAAACTGATATTAGTCAGTCGTCAACTCTTATCCAAACTCCTTAAGTGCATAAGTTTTCCATTCAGTTCGAATACATGGCTCAAAAATATTTTAGTCTAAGACTATACCACGAAGTCAGTCCACTTCATATGGAACTCTGGTAACTCTAGCTCCTTCCTATTAATACTTCACAAAGGATATCAGAGCTAATCCTGTGTTATCAATATGGAAGAGAATATCCATGAGGACTATTCCAATAGAAAATAGCGTTTTAGTCGCGATAGAAAAAGGTTTATCTGAAAACAGATTTGTAATTTTAATTTTTAGTAAATAAAGATGAATCTAAAAACAGCTGCTGTTACTATCTTATGAATTATTGCTCGACATAAACCGTTGGCTGTTTTATTAGGAGAGAACCTGAGATAGCGGTAACTCACCCACACACTTTAGTAACAGATAAGTCATCGATTTAGCAATCGAGTAAAAATTGAGTAATTGAGATGAATTGAGCAATACCAGTATCACTCGATCTAGTATTACTGGATTATTTTTCGATCTCGGTTACCGCATATATGGATAGGTTGTGTTTTACGCTGACCACAGAAAAATCAGAAAAAGGATTTGGACCTTTTTTCCCAAGGAGTTAGAGAACTGCACAAACGGAGGTCAGTTGTAGTTGTTTATCAATTCTCTTTAAGGCAAGCTGTGCAGTAAGACCAAATTTTCTAGGTTGTGAAAGCGGTATCGATTTTGGTGAAAGTTTTCTCGGAACTTTCTCCTTGAGCTACAATGGGACAATGTGGACAACTATTTAGACTCACCTCATGAGAACAACCCAAAGATGCAAAATGCTCCGCTAAACGCTCAAAATCGTTAAACCAACTTCTTGGGGTATAAAAGATATCAGTCCATCCTAAACATATAATATCTGGACTACAATGAATTTGAAATCGAGTGTAATTCGTACAAATAGTTCGTACAGCTTCTATAACTGGTATGTGCACGTGGTTATAAAAATGCCACCACTTATATTTGTTTATTATTTGTGGCATTTCGCTATGATTAAAACAACGAAGAGTTATAAGGGCATGATCAACGTTAATTAGTCCCGGGTGAGGAACCCAAGGTATGGAAAAGTTTTCTTTGATGAAATCGTCAGGTCTTACCCAAGTATCGAAATGAAAATACATTATTCCGGTGGTTGTATAATCAGTGTCTAAAATACGCCTCATTTGCCGCGCCACACAAATATACGTAAGATAACCTCCTTCGACACAATTATCGAACAGCGGATTGTTCCTTTGTCCCCAGTTTACTGTGCCAAAAATGACTTTATGAAAATAATTGACATAATGAGCTATTAAATGGAATCTTTCTGGTCTATGAGAGTTAAACATGATGTAAGCAGTGGTAGTATTAATGGACATTGAACATGGTAAGATAGAATCAATCAATGCTAGACTTTGTCTTGACGATGAATCATTGGCGAATTTGTTTGGCCAAGGTAAACGGCAACGTAGTTTTGGTAATCTATTTGTCATATGAACATACCTATAATTTAGGGCAGAAAAGAGTAGAAGTTGACCAAATATAATCAACACTGTAATTAACAAAATTTTCAGAATTTTTGGTTTGTCAGTGAGTATCGAATATAACGTTTTATATGTATATGAATTCGACATAACTTCGAGTATTTTCCTCGGACAACGTTAAATGAAGTGAAGGAACAATGCCAAATATGAATAAGCGATTGGCGACAATAAATTCTAGAATGAAATTTTTGGGTTTATTATAGTGAAATTCAGGTTTTTAGAACTCTTTTTCAATAAATTATGTAATTGAAATTTCTTGACTGCAACATAGATAATTTATTAAAATTAAAATAGGTAGATAGATGATGCCCACTTTCAGGTTCCACAATAATTATTTGCTTTTGTTGAAGCAACATATCAACTTGTGAAGTAGCTAGAGGTTGCATTCTATTTTTGTTGTAAAGAACGCATTCTCTGGTGAAAGAAATCAGATAATGAATATATGTTTTAAGGGTATTTATTGTCAAGATTTTTCGCAAGGCTTAATCTCTGGAGAGTATTGTGATTTCAACTTGAAAAGGTCTTATGTCAGTCAAAATATTTTGTTCGATTTTTCTGAGAAAACGTGCAGTACAGAAAGAGAGTGAAGAATCATGCCTTACATGGTCCTTCTTAAATCTTGTTGAAAAGCTTAATTATTTTTAATAAAGCTGTTTGGTCTTCTATATATCCTATTTATACCATGAAAAAGTATACAGCGCATATTGTTATTTGCATCTTTCCTCGTGCTTTAAGTGATGCATTGGGCCAGACGCTGACTCGTAACGGCAAAAAGGAAAATTTTTTTCTTTTCGTCGTTACGCATCAGCGATTTAAGGCCTTTACTTATATAATGACTAACTGTAGAAAACACTTTAGAATAAACTGGTAGACTAACAGCAAAACTAGTTTGTAGAGGGCGTTTAACTACTTAGATTGCGTTTACATCAGTTAAAATTAGAATAATTTCATTTACTTGATACGGTCGATTTTTTCGTCTTTGTAATCATTTTGCCATCACAGGGTTATACTTTGCCAAAAAGTTTAAGATTTGAAAAAGATTACCAGCTTCATCATTATCACCTCTAAAAGCCAGATTTTGTCGCACCAAAAAACGAACGTAATCTATTAACATTGTGATGGCTGTTTGATTTATCATTGATTGTTGAATTTTATTTTGTTTCATTTAAATATTTTCGTACCAACGCATGGTGATATCTTCATATCGAATATCTTCTGACGTTTCCATTTTTTGTAATTGTTCATCACATATTTCCAATATTTTTGTTATTTGTTCTTTCATGTCAGCTAGTTGTTCATGTGTTTGTGTTAAAAAGAATTCGTCACTAAGACATTCATCACATGATCTGCATATCAAAGTACGAGGTCAACATCAAGTAATAATTTTGATTTAGGACCAATTAATACTCTTTGACTAATACCTTTTTCAGCATTTGATATAATAAACTAAAGAAATACACACAAAATATTAGATAGTCTACTATTATATAATTATAAACTGATATACTAACTTCTATTTCATCATTTTATTTGTCTTACCTTCATGATAAGACTCATACTGTTCATCTGCTATTGATTGTGGTTGTGAACTACACGCGTCCAGTATATCATGCTTGCCACCGATGGAGCTAAAATTCGTATTATATTCAACCTTACTCCTTATCATTTGCAAATCATTAAAACTCAGATTATCATGATCATTCAATTATTGTGTTGAAATTATGGTTGTGGATGGTAACGTGATGAGTGTACCAGTTGAAAGTGAAGAAGCATCATAAAAATAGCGGCACGCTAGAGAGTGCGATCGTTTGGTGTATTGGATTGGTCAAAAATAAAAGAATTCAATCTCAGTTTTTCAGACAGCATTTGGAAAGCTGCTATTAACAGTATAAAACTTCTTCATGAAAACAAACTGTCATATAAAACTAAAAATGGGCGGCTTCCAATAGCCAAGATCAGTAGAGAAGAGAGTATGTTGTTAAAACAACAGGCTCCGAGAATGATAGTTTACCCAGTGAGAAAAGAATATGGTTGGCTACATTATTCACCATTTCTATTTACCCCAGAACTTAAAGATGATGAAACACTTTTTAAAATCTAGATAGCATTTCTCAGATGCATTATAATACCAAAGCTATACATTTGAGACAGCATAAATGTTAGTAAACTCTTGGAATCGGACGAC